CCACTGTGGCCCAGAGCTCACCCCGGCAGCCCTGGGAACGGGGAGCTGAGGACTGTGGGTGTCTTGCAGGTTTACTTCAAAGACACCCACCCCAAGTTTCCCGCTGGAGGGAAGATGTCTCAGTACCTGGAAAGCATGAAGATTGGAGACACCGTTGAGTTCCGAGGCCCAAATGGGCTGCTGGTCTACCAGGGCAAAGGTGATCTGGGTTGGACTCCCCGAGGACCCAGTGGGGGCGGTGGATGCTGGGTGCAGGTCCCGCCTCTGCTGCTGTCTGGATGGGTGACTCTCGCAGGGCAAGCCATCTCCTCTCTGGGGCCTCCGTTTCCCTGGCTGTTTGGAATTAAGGTGGCCAGCACAGGGGTTGCAGACCAGCTGCCTCTGGGGGCCAGATGCAGCCCACAGACCAGCTTTGTCTGGCTGAAAACAAACAAGGGGTAGGGCTGAGCTGGGACGCCCCTGATTCTCCAGCCTCCCTGCTCCCCAGACATGTGCAGTGAGGAACTTGTCCTCGTGCTCCTCTTTGCATTTGAGCTGGTCCCGGTGCCGCCTTCCCATCCCCCTCACCCTGACTGACTGGGGGCTGTGGTGGCCGCCGCGCCCGAACCCCTGAGGCGGGGGCAGCTTCTCCAGCCCTTCCGACCCCCAAGCACAGCATGTCTGAGAGCTGGGCCTCACCCCTTCTCCTCTCCCCAGGAAAGTTTGCCATCCGTCCGGACAAGAAATCCAACCCTGTCATCACAACGGTGAAGTCTGTGGGCATGATTGCAGGAGGAACGGGTATGTGGACCCGGAGCCCCTCACTGAGTCCCTAGCGGGCGGATGTCATGGTTCGGGGCCAGGGTGTGGGACGTGGCACAGATTACAAGTGACTGGGAGCCTCCCAAGGTCAGGGACCCGGACCCAGTTATCCTGGCAGCTCTCTGGGTATCTGCCTGGCACTGGGCCTGCGCGTATGCAGCAGGCGCTCACGCAGTGTGGGGGGGTGGCTGTGTTGCAGGAATCACCCCAATGCTGCAGGTGATCCGTGCCATCATGAAGGACCCGGATGATCAGACCGTGTGCCATCTGGTCTTTGCCAACCAGGTCAGTGGGTGGGCCTGAGCTCTGCAAACCAGACTCCTGCTGAGCGGGGGCGGGGCCCAGCAGGCACTGCTCAGGGGTCTGCACGGCTTTGCGGAGATGCTCAGGGAGGCTGAAATGTGAGGGGTGCTCTGAATGTTCTGTGCACAGCAGCCCTCACAGGGGCTGGTGGGGTCGGGCTTTTCAGTGCAGAGCTCAGAGCGTCTCACCCGAGTGGGGCTGCTTTGGTGGAGGAGTGAGGCACCTGGAGCACCCACACCCCGAGATTCGCTCCTCTGGCTGCTTCCTTGGAACCTCAGGGTTCCCTTCACCGCACACAGAGTTTGGAACCCACCAGTGAAGTGGGAGGAGCCCAAAGGGCCGTTTTCACAGATGACGTGCAAGGTCCCATCTGCGTGAGGTCCCTGAGCTGGGGGACAGGGTTTGGACCTGGGCTCCCCGGCTCCTGAGTGCATGTCCTCCTCCCCACACCCGCTGCCTGCCCGCCCCGGCCTGCTGTGTGGCCTTGGACAAGTCACTCTCCCTTTCTGGGCTTTGCTCCCTCACTGTGGAATGAGCTGATGAAGCAAGGTCATCACAAGGGTCTTTCTAGGTTCAGTGTTTCATGACTGAATACGTGGATCTTATAGTGATGCCCCTTTTGGGGGAAGCTAAGACGAGGCACCCCCCCCACCTGTGTGGGGGCCGTGCCCAGGCCCCCTGCGCCTCTCAGATGTGGTTCAGGTCAGTTTGCCCCTGGGTCCATCTGGCCCAGGCTTCACCCCGTGTCATCTGTGAGGACATCGAGCCTGGAGGTGGCGGGGCCGGGCTGAGGTCCCACACAGCTGCAGAAAACTGCTCTGAGGCCAACTGAGGTGGCCTTGACTAGGGGTGGGTGGAAGCAGCCAGAAATTCCAAGCTGGCTGGTGGGGTTGAGGGTGAGCAGTGTTCAGCTCGGTGGTGCTGGGGCAGTCTCTGTGGAGGCCATCAGCCCTCTGTCGCCTGGACGGGCATCTTTGTGCCCGTTAGCAGGGGCGGCGGATCCTGTATCTCTCTCTGCACTTCAGTGCAGTGTCACAAGTCCTGTAGCCTCTGGAAGCCGTGAGGCAGGAGAGTGAAGAATGCAACTAAGTATCACGTGAAAATCGCCCTGACCTCAAGGTCCCTCTGAAGGGTCTCGGGGGCCCCAGGGGTCCGCAGGCCACACTGTGGGAGCTGCTGCTTTGCTCCAGTTGAGTCGTTGCCCCTCCCTCCCCCGTCCTCAGTGACCTCCATGCTCGGCTTGGACGGGGGCCACAGCCCCTCCATTTGCCCATCCGTAATGTAGGGTAACGGGGGACCCACCTCTCGGGCCGGTTGTGAGGGTTGAGATGGCCTTGGATAGGAGCGTTTAACGTTGCAGATGTGTGCATTATTCCTGGAGTGACCTAGTGATGGGAGTGGAGGCTGGTGGGGAGGCAGGTTGAGGACGGCATCCTGAGTCCAGGGGAGGCCGGGCCTCTGCCCCCAGCCTCAGCCTAAGGGAAGCGCGACTTTTCAGAAGGGCATTAGGGAGTGTCAATAAACGGCGGGGCGACCTGGTTCTTGGACAGGGAGACAGATATTCTGAAGGTGTCGGTTCTTCATAAAGTAATACTCGAAGGCCCAGTGGGGATATTTTCTCCCCTTTAATAAGATAAAATGATGCAATGTGGCCTGGAAGACAAAGTACACATGCACAGCCAAGAAAGTTTTGAAAAAGAAGAGTGACAAGGAAGAACTTAGCGCACTGGGTATTAAAACATACTGAAAAGTGTCAGTGATAAAAATAGCATGGTTCTGGAGCCACACGTGAGACCTGGGCTTACTGGACTTAACTGCATTTCTGGATAGCACAACAGGAAATCTAGACTGTGCTGGCACATGCTGGAACATGTGGCTAGTTACACTTAAATTAATTAAGATTGAACAAAATTAAAAACTCGCTTTCCCAGTCTCACTAGCCAACATTTCATTGGTTTCATAGCCACATGTGGCCAGTGGTTACCCTGTTGGCTAACACAGATCTATTGTAGAACGTTCCCATCATTGTAGAAAACTCTGTTGAACAGCCCTGGCCTAGAAACAGACCCAAGTGTAGGTGAGACTTTGTATCTGATGCAGGTGACGTACCAGACGTGAAAAGAGAAAGGAAGAGGGGTGTGGAGTTAGTTGCTACGCACTTGGAAGAAACGAAGTAGATGCCTACCTTTCCTTACGCAAAAATGAAGTTGAGGTTAAAGATACACATGTAAAAAAATTGAAGCTTCGAAAGTAGAAGGTGAGGGCTTCCCTGGTGGCGCAGTGGTTGAGAGTCCGCCTGCCGATGCAGGGGACGCGGGTTCGAGCCCCGGTCCCGGAAGATCCCACATGCCGCGGAGCAGCTGGGCCCGTGAGCCACAACTACTGAGCCTCCGCGCCCGGAGCCTGTGCTCCGTAGCAAGAGAGGCCGCGAGAGTGAGAGGCCCGCGCACCGCGATGAAGGAGCGGCCCCCGCTTGCCACAACTGGAGAAAGCCCTCGCACAGAAACGAAGACCCAACACAGCCATAAATAAATCAATTAACTAATTAAAAAATGAATAAATAAAGTATGAGTTCAACATATGCCCTTTTCTTAAAAAAAAAAAAAAAGAAGGTAAGCATTTTTACAGGAGGTATTGATGAATGAGTGAACAAGGATGGTCAGTCTAAGGCAAGACACCAGGGAGAGCCCGTCAAGGAGAAGATTGACGGAACCATCTGCTTAAAAATGAAAAGCTCCCCTGGGGAAAAACACAAACTATAAATAAGGTAGAAAGATAAGTAACTGGGGATGAGACATATAATGCATCACCAATGAAAATTAATATCCTTCATGTAAAAAGTTTTTACAAACTAATAAGATATTACTAGACCAGTGACAAACTTACTTATTAATAATAAAAAATAAAACATAAGCTTTACTTTACATTAATCTGATTGCCAAAGCTTAAAGGATCATTACCCAGTGCTGGTAGAGGTGTAGGGAGATGGATACTCCTGGCACACTGCTGGTGTGCGCCTTGGTGTAACCTACCTGGGGATTGTAAAGCAGCTGCTGTGTTGAACGCCCTAACCATGTGGAATTTTCTACCCTGAACTCCGCTCCCTCGAGTTTATCCTCAGGAACAGGGCAGTGAGGGTGGTCAGAGAGGCATTGTTCATAAAGAGGATGCTCAGAGATGCAAGAGGGAGGAGATATGGGGATATATGTATATGTATAACTGATTCACTTTGTTATAAAGCAGAAACTAACACACCATTGTAAAGCAATTAATACTCCAGTAGAGATGTTAAAAAAAAGAAAAAAAGAGGAAAAGAGGTTGCTCAGAACAATCTCCACGCCTCTCCTGTCGTCTCCCTCACCCAGCCTGGGGCTCAGTAGAGGTTTGTGAGCCAGTGACCTTTTCTGATCGACAGAGCTCTTTGGCCCCCAGTTTCACAACAGTCTTATGAGATCAGTCACGCCACCCACTGGCCTGAGGAGCCCTGTCCGTCTGTGAGTGACCTGCAAACATACAGGGCAAAGTCTGTGGTTAGGAATGGAAAGAGGGGCTGTTTCGGGAGCAGACTGCTGATGCTCCCTGGGGGTCCGAGAAGGCTTCTTGGAGGAGGTGACAAGCTGAACTCTACAGGGCCACTTGGGGCTGGCTAAATGAAATCAGTGGGGATGGAAAGTGGGGAGCTGCAGGCCAAGCAGAGGGATGGGCGTGGGCAAGGCCGCGGAGGGACAGGTGTGATCTGGGGAAATAGTATCTGTATTTCCTAGGCTGTGGACGTACAAGCTGAGACGCCAGAACATAGAGAGACTTGGACTTTCCCTGGAAGCTTTGCCAAGTGTGCGGCCCACGGGTGGGCGGGATGACGAGGGTCTCCAAAGGCAGTCCCTGTCGCTGTCCCTCCTGACCGCTGGGTCCTGTCCCCCCGCAGACTGAGAAGGATATCCTGCTGCGGCCCGAGCTGGAGGAACTGAGGAACGAACATTCTGCGCGCTTCAAGCTCTGGTACACGGTGGACAAAGCCCCTGAAGGTGAGAGCGCCCAGGCGGGTGGGCTGGGTGGAGGTGCTGGCCCACGCTCGCCTGGCGGAGCCCTCTTCCGTCGTGGAGGCTTCTGCTCACATGGTCTCCTTCGGTGCTCACCGTGGCCCTGTGAGAGGAAGGTGATGAGGAAAGAGGGATTAGAGAGGGAACGCAAGTGTCCCACAGCACACAGTGGGAAAACCCCAGAGCTAGGGCTTGAATTCACACCCGCCTCCTCCAGATCCCCAGACCTTCCCCTGCCTGCCCTGCTCTCAGCTGGACAAACAAGGCCGGCGTTCTCCCCTTGGGCCGGGGCTCACTGTGGGGCAGGTCTCCAGGGCCAGTGCCGGGGGTGAGGGTGAGTGTTTCCACGTTGCAGTGTATACCCTGTAAGGCACTTTACACCCATTTTCTCTCTAATCATCAGCCCTGGAGTGTGGGCTGGGCTGATGTACAGTTACCTTCATTCTACTTATCCAGGTGTTTAAGCTGTTTGCCAAGGTCACATAGGAGGTGGTGAATGGGGGCTGCCCCTAAAACCTGAAACAAGGTTGCCCTCTGGGAGCTAAACTGTACTCCATTCTCCTGCCTTAGGTGGATGTGGTTACAAAAAATATCTTCACTTCTTCTCTGTTGTAAGAAAAGCAGCAGCTGAGGCTTCTTGGTAGATAACACCAGTGATGTTTGGCTTCAGGGTTAGGAGACTGTAGGGAGTGGTGGGGACTGTGGTGAATTGGAGAGCATCTGCCTGTGCAGAGGGGCAGCCCCCTCCCAGCTGCGGGCAGCCCTGGAGGCCAGCCTTTCCATTTTTCAGGGGAAGCTGGGGGCCTGCACTTTCATGGGAAATTTTTAAATATTAGAAACTGGACATTTTCAAAGCACCCACGTGGGCACCAGCTTGCTGCCACACTGCCCTTGCTTTGCCGCCTCCTCCTCACACAGCCACCCGGTCCCCTGGGACTCAACCACCACAGTGTGGGGAACAGGCCACCCTCTGCTTCCCCCAGAAATGAGCAGGCAGGCTCTGGGGGTACCCATCTCAAGAGGGTCCATCCCTGAGAGAGGAGCCACCCTCCTGGGTTGACCAAATTGGATTCTGGGCCCCTGGGGGATCCACGGACCTGACAAGTCTTGTTCCGGGGCCTCTGGCTGGACCAGCCATCCTGGGCCCACCCGTGTCTCAGTGGGTCTCCTCCTGGGTGGACCCCTCACTCTGTGTGTTCCCGAAACCAGCCTGGGCCGAGCTGATGTTCTAGTTGGGGAGGATGAACAGGAAACAGGTTTATTAGTAAATTATAAAGTACAGTAGCCGGTGATTAGTGAGACCCAGGAAAGACAGAGTCATAGAGCGTGGAGGTCGGACAGGAAGCACTGGTTCTGGGAGTCCGAGCTTCCAGTAAAGAAAGGAATTTTTTTTTTTTTTGGCTGTACGTGGGCCTCTCACTGCTGTGGCCTCTCCCGTCCGACTCAGCGGCCATGGCTCACGGGCCCAGCCGCTCCGCGGCATGTGGGATCCTCCTGGAGCGGGGCACGAACCCGTGTCCCCTGCATCGTCAGGCGGACTCTCAACCACTGCGCCACCCGGGAAGCCCAAGAAAGGAATATTTATCTTGTACCCACGTCTCATTCAAAAGGGGGATATGAAAGCTGTTTTAGCTCCCTTCTGGTTGCAGGTTCTAGAGTGTGGTCAGGTAGGCTTATTGGCCACGATGGGAGTGTCCTTGCAGGGGCCTCTACCCCTGTTGCCTGCACACGGCCTGGCCGCAGGAGGAGTGGACACTGCCCTCTGGTGGTGACACCTGGCAACGCCTATACCCAAGTGCCTCCTGGGGACAGTTTTAAGAGTAACCAGTCACTGGCCAAGGAGGAATACAGTTGGGTAGTCTCCTGGTATTTTGCACTTACGTTTATTATTACCCTGACCACAGTTCGAGAGTAGTTCGGGTATTGCCGTAACATTAGGTATAAGCTGAAAAGGGTAGACGCTGAGAAGGAAAATGGTACCAGGCCAGCAGGCAGTTGTGGAGCTAAGCAAAAGAACAGGGGAGAGGGGCCAGCTGACTGTGTTTCCCCTACAAAGTCACCTTCAGTATACATGTAAAGAAAAATACACTATCTAAAAACGTCCTTGCGAAATTGAGATGTGTCTTACATACCTGTACATTCATTACACTAGCAAATATGGTTTAGTCCCATGCAGGTTTTTTCAAAGTAATTTTAGATCTGTTAATAAAATGTTATCTACCTACCTATGTCCCTCCTTGTTCCAGAGGGATTTTAGGCACCTTACAAAGACTCATAGAGTGAGTCGGAGTGGTATAAATGGAAAGTGGGAGTGAAAGAAAAACAAGGGCAGGGCCATAAAATGGAATTGGGAATGAGGTTTGCATAGAAGCATGGGCTGTGATGCACACTTGCTGTGGGTGGCCATGTATTTCACTCTGAGCTTCCCAGCAGCCAAAGTGAAAAGGGAGATGGGATCAGTTACTCGGCTCAGTGTCCATGAGGTGAAGAATACCCCATTGCTCAGCACAGCAGACTCTTCCTTATCCCAAGACCAGCTGGGACTGGCTTGGCCCCTCGCAAGGGACCCCCGGATGGAGTGTACATGATGTGATGCAGAGAGCATTGTGTGCCGTGATGGGGGAGGACGGCCCTGAGCGCAGATGTGGAAGCCAAGGCGTAGATCGGAGCCAGAGCGGAGCCAGGCTGGGTGCCACCTCCTCCCCCTCTCCTCGGGCCCCAGTCATCAGAGCCCCATTCTCCTGGCAGAGCCCTGCCAGCCTGCCGTCCCCGTGGGCCCACCGTGCACCTGGAACTGGCTGGTTCCCCTCCCTGAGCAGCCCCTGCTGGCAGATCAGTCCTGAGGGCCCGGGTGGGACTAGAGCCGTGCCAGCCTCGGGGCACCAGGTTCTTGCTGCCGGCACCAGCAGTGACTTGTAGGAATAAAAGGTGGCTCTGGATCTCAGGTGAAACCTGGAGACACACTGCGCATGTACATGTGCGTGTGCGGGACAGGGAGGCCAGCAGGACCTAGAGGAGCTGTTGCTGCCACGAGGGTCCTGCATCTGGAGCTTCAGCCTGGGTCCTGGCCTTGCTGTTTTCAGGCTCACCGATTGCTTATTTGGGACGCATTCCTTTACTCATTATTTACTGCGTAACTACTGTGTGTGGGGCTGTCTGGGCACTGGGACTACAGCTGTGGAACAGACACAGCTCCTCATGGACCGACACGCAGTAGAGGGAAGAGTCAGACAGTGGGCACAGGGCCGGTAGGTAGCATGAAGGGTGGTGGGGTAGGAAATGTCACCCTGACCAGCCTGGCGCTGGCTGGGGGACCTCTGGGACCTGGGGCTAACGTCCCAGCCCTGTCCATGCCTTTTTGTGTGACCTGGGGCGACTCAACTCTGGGTCCCCTTGGCCTCAGTTTCCACATCTGTAAAACGGGATCAGTAACCCCTGCCCTGTCCGCCCACAGGGCGGCTCTGAGGGCCACATGAGAGGCCAGTGGAAGTGAAATGCGTTGCACGCTGTGAAGCGTGGTGGGGGAATGTTGATGGGCTTGCCTTTGTGGCACAGGTGAGCCAGGCTTGGGGGCAGGGGATCGGGGTGAGGGTTTACTTGGCTCAGCGTCTTCATTCTTCAGTGTTTGTGGAAAGAAGGGAGGAATTCATGGCACAGGAACTTTGTCACAGAGGAGAGGGTGCTGGGCGGGTGGGCAGTCGGCAGTTGGTCCCTCGGCCGTACTCGGGCTCACCTAGTCTCCCACCCTGCAGCCTGGGACTACAGCCAGGGCTTCGTGAACGAGGAGATGATCCGGGACCACCTTCCGCCGCCGGAGGAGGAGCCGCTGGTGCTGATGTGCGGGCCCCCGCCCATGATCCAGTACGCCTGCCTGCCCAACCTGGACCGCGTGGGCCACCCCAAGGGGCGTTGCTTCACCTTCTGATTGGCGGGCCCCGGCCACTGCCTCCGCCCCACACTCACTGCGCCCTGTCGCCCTGTCTGTACCCACCCCTCCTGCTGTCATTTGTTAACACCACTCTCCCCCGCGTCTCCTGCTGCAGCCGGGTTCAGCCTGGCCTGCCCGTGCCTGGGAGGTCACCCCGCTGGGCTGGCCCCCGAGGGGCCCCTTTGGGAGCAGGGCTCTGTTACAGGTGGCCGCTGTCAGCCACCTTTAGGGCAGATTTCTGTCTGGGCCTCACTGGGGTTGTCCCCCTCCCCCCCCCCCCCCCTACCCCCCCCCTCCAGGCAGCCACAAAGAACTGAGCCGGTATCCCTGTGCCATGCGGCTGCTTCCCACTG